ATATGTCCTTTTTTTAATAAAATATAAATAATAAAAAGACAAATCACTTTTGAGAATACACTTATTAGTTACTACTCGTTTATACCCAAAGTTTGACTCTCACCCTATTCGTTCTTAAATAAAAAAAATCTATCAATGCACTTTCCTAATCTTTCTTTTTACTTGAGTATCCACTAAATTTGGCTTTCGCTTAAAGTTAATATCAATTTATATAAGATTAAAAAATATATAGTTTCTTGATTTGGGTAAATTCTATTCGTCTGTTTTAGGTCAAGCTATTGATGGAGTTGTGGCAAGAGGCCCAGTGCAATATTCCAATTACAGTCATTGTCATTGTGTTGGTGCCTGCATGCCTGCCTGCCTGCCTGCATGGTTTGCAAACATTAATTTAAAAAAATACTTAGATATTTTTTTGGAAAAAAAAGGATAAATTATATAAAACAACTTCAATTATTGGATCATTAACAGTTTCATATCTCGTCTTTAAAAAGTTTTAATGTTATACCTTATCTTTAAATTTGTTGCAATGTCATATCTTCTGTCAATTGTCTGTCAATTTCTCTGTTAAATGCTGACGTGGCTTGAGACATAGCCCACCTTCTATTAAAAAATTAATAAAATATTATTAAAAACTAAAAAAAATCATTTAATATTTTTTTAATATTAAAATAATAATTAATTAAAAAAAAGTTATTTAAAAAAAAAAACCCGACTTTGTCTCCCCCCACCCCCTTCTTCCCCCACGCGAGCCCAACATGCAACCCAAGAAAAAAAAAAAACCCCATTTTCATCTTTCCCGACCCCTATTTCCCTGCAACCCACCCATTTCTTCCTCATCCCGTCTTCCCCAAACCCACTGCGTACCCATCCTCCACCTCCTCCTCCACACCCACCAGCAACCCAATGCAAAAAAAAACCCATCTTCATCTTCCTGACCCCTTTTCCCTGCAACCCACATCCCAACTTACCCATCCTCCACCTCCTCCTCAGCACCCACCCTTGCACCCACTACCTACAACCCAGAAAAGGAAAAAAAAAAAAAAAAAAAGCCCCATCTTCATCTTCCTCGACCCCCCCTTTCCCTGCAACCCAGATCCCGTCTTCTCCAAACCTACCCCTTTCTTCCCCTAGATCCAACATGAACGTCTACGCTCAACCCAAAAAAAAAAAACCCATATCTTGTCTACGCCGCCGTCGCCGGGTTCGTGAGGTGGAATCAGGAAACCCCCTTCGCCAGGCTGATTTCGCGGGTGAAGAAATTGGGCACAAAGAAAATGGGGGAAATGGGTGTGGATTTAAGGAGTGGGGTGTGTGGAGGAGGGAAGATGGTGGGTGCGAAGGAGGCGGAGGAGGTGGAGGATAGGTGCGCATTGGGTTTGGGGAAGACGAGAGGTGGAAGAAAGGGGTGGGTTGTAGGGAAATGTGGGTCGGGGAAGATGAAGATGGTTTTTTTTTTTTTTTGGGTTGCAGGTTAGGCTCGAGTGGGGGGGGGGGGAGACGAACTAGGTTTTTTTTAATAACTTTTCTTTAATTAATTATTATTTTAATATTTAAAAAATATTAAATGATTTTTTTTAGTTTTTAATAATTTTTTAACAGAAAGCAGGCCCTGTGACGATCCGTCCCAAAGTATTATATATTTTCTCTCCCCAAGTATGTAAGGTGACGATTGTGCCCTCGATGGCTTAGTGACATGGATGTACATATGTAGTTTTAAATTATTTCCTCGTCGTTGTAATTAAATCGTACTTGACGTCATGAGCGCGTTGACGCGAGTTAGGGCTGAATCGGATTTGTAATGAAAAAGGTTACGATTATTAGAAGAGCGTAAACGGGCCAAAGTAACAACCAATCACCTTAACTCCTACATTCATGGGTCCAATTAATTGTTCGGCTTTTATTTGTTTTAGGACTAATTACAAAACTCATTCCTTTCCCTTGCCCAATCCGGAGGAACACACACACACATATTAAAATCTCTCACTCTTTCCTTACTAACCAATCACAAACGCTTACACACATATAACCTTACCTTCTCTCTTATATTTTCTTGATTTTTCTCTCGTCTGTACAATCGAGAGACCATCACCTACAATCTTAACCAAATCGACACGGATTGAGTTGTTGAAGTCCACCATCGTATTCCTCATGACCTCACGAGTTGAGTGATACCTTTTGGCCGTCGAACAGATCACGGGAACCCGAGAACTCACGAACTCTGGCGAGGTGTTTGTTGCTCCGTAGTGATCGAGGCCTCTTTCCAAGGTTTTAAGGCTCCGGGAGGTTCCTAAACAACTCCATAGGAACCTTAGAGTGGATTTGGGACAAAGTTGACGTCGAAGTAGATGGTTTCGAAGAGTTCAAGTTTGACTGGATTTTTCAAGGCTTTATTCCGATCACTTTCCGTTGATTTTTGGACCTCTAATAGGTATGATTTTGTTCTATTCCTCAAGAGATTCAAATTCATATAAAAATCGTGAATTTTGGTTGAAAAATGAGTTAGATAAGAGTTTAAAATTTTTCCAAAAAACCGACGAGTACAGACGGTGGCTGGCAATGGATTCCGGCGAGTCACCGGAGAAGAAGAGGAATATTCTGTAAACTTTGACGGAATATACTGACGGCGTCAGGTAACTCCGTTAGGATTTTAACGGAATATTCTACTATTTTAATGGAATATTCCCTAACGACGTTAGGGATTCTGTCAATATGCCAGGCACTTGCCTGCACATGATCAACAAGTGAGAGCGCGTGTGACGTCCAAAAATTATTCTAAAAATATGGGGGTGTTCGTGTTGTTGAGTAAATCACGTTGGTATATTTAAACACCCCATTTGAGCAACGTATGAGAAGTTATTCCTAAGGTTTGTGTATGTACTTTAAAATTAATGTAAAATTAGTTGTTTCGCATATAGGTGAGACGTACCCTAAGGACGAGCATGGACAAGTGAGGCTAGGGGGCTACAATTATATATATGATATGGTTTCCAGAACGTTTTCTTAAATGATTTATGCTTTGAATGCCATGTCGTAATGAGTTGCATTTTGAGTGTTGCACTGTTATACTTGTGAATTATATTGTGTGATGCTGTGGAGACTCAGGTAAGCTTTAGGTGAGTATGATGTGATTGAATGGGTTGTGTTGCATGCATATATTTATTTAGAGCTCATCAGGGCTGCACCTGGTATTAGTGCTCCCGCCCAGGGGTTAGGGCTAGCCTTCACGTGATCGTTCACCTTCCGCACCGCACGATCACCTTAGATCCAAGTCTGGTGCTAGCCTATCGTATAGACCACAATAGGTGGTTTCGACTCGTAGGTGACCCACGATTTACCGCATAGCCTTCACGTGATCGTAGCACTTGAGCGTACATATTTATACCTAGTCTGTCGTACAGGTCATATAGGTGACTCCGACTCGTGTGCTAGCCTAGGTTAATAAGCTATAGTTCCAGTCGTACAGGTCACATTAGGTGACTTTGGCTGGCATGTTAATTTATATTGATTCTACACTTGGCTTACATGATTTAGAAGTGAAACGTTATGACATGGCATATTTTGGGTTTCACTGCCTTAGTACGTTGTTTTATATATATGTAGTACTATTTTCCAGAAACTATACGATTTTTACAGTGAGGGGTTACTATGTTCTGAAAAGATAAATGTGTTTTCAAATGCTTTGTTTTTGCCCACTCACCCTTCTGTTTTGCCCCCCTCCAGGTTTTAGGTAGCTGATCATCTTTGGTGGCTCACGAGGACTTCCCGGCGGAACATATCCATAAATAAGTAAGGATCTTCTCCATGTTTGTATAATTAGTACTTGTTTAGTTTGACTTCGCTTGTGATACCTATACTCTGAAACATTTGTAGCTTGACTAAGTTGCTTCCACACACTTAGTATTATCTTGGTATAGCTAAGTTTTTGTTGTTTTATTTATTTATTTGCATTTTCTTATTATCGTATACACTTCTGTTATGCACTTGGCCTCATCATCCTCACGTGACGGCCAACGTCTCGACTTCGATTTCTTGATGAGTTGGAATTAGTGAATCGAGATAGGGTGATGAGTTAGGCGTCGATGATGCTTGGCTTGGGCAGCGGGTTTGTTGTAGAAACGGAGGTTGGCTAGGAGCTTTGGGGGGATGTTGTGGATGGAGAGGAAGATGACAACGAGGATTAGGCCGGTTTGGAGGAGAATGTCCTTTGTGATTCGGGACCAATCGATCGGTGCAAACTCATTTGTTTGGGAATTGGTGCATTGGAATTGGGATTGAGGAATCCATGAGTGGGTGTTTGGGAAATGGGTTGAGGGAAGATTAGGAGATATGGGAATTGGTTTCAGGGTTTGAATTCATACTGAGGACGAGGTTGGCGAGGGCGGAGGGGGGTCGGAGAAGAAGGTGGATTTGATGATTTGAAGGAGGTGGGCCCATTCTTTTAAATTTAATTTTTGACAAAAAAAAAATATTTTTAAATGATTTATTATATATATAATTTCTTAATGGTACAAGTGGATTGCCACATTGGGCCATTCATTTGCTAAATCATCACTTAACGGTCAATTTGATAGACTTACTAACGGAGGTATAATATTACAACGAATTCATAAGTTAAGATATGACATTGCAATATTTAAAATATGAAGTAAGAAATTATGATGCAATTCATAATTAAGGTAGTTTTGTACAATTTACCTTTAAATTTAACCAAAGAAAACAAGACCGAAGAGTTGGCACAAACACTAAAGAGTGAGCGAACCTAGTGAGGTGGAAGTAGAAGTAGCAAACATCTCCCTACAACAGCAGTCCAACTCCACGCAAGCAAAAAAAAGAATCTTAGCTGGATGCAGCTGCCTTCACTTGCCACCTTCGCCAACGGACTGTTTCCCATTTCTATAACCCCTTTTCACTCTCAAGATTCAATCTTTTCACTCTCCCTCTCTCTCTCCTCACTTTCTCTCTCTAGACTGACAAATTTCACTCACAAAAACACTGGGGACTCTGCAGCAACTCAGTCTCCAAGGTCATCACAATGGCCAACTTCTTCATCTTCCTCCTGCTCTTCTTATCCTCTCCACTCACCGCATCTCCAAGGCCAAACCATAGAGTCCTCCACCAGCCATTTCTGCCGCAGGAATCTTCTTCGCCTCCATCTCCCTCACCGCCTTCCCCACCTCCGAACCCAACTCCCCCAGTTTCCAGTTCCAACTCTCCCCCTCCCAATTCCCCTTTTTTCCCATCCTTACCCTCCCCTCCGCCTCCCCCTCCCTCCCCAACCACTGCCTTCGCCTCCTTCCCCGCCAACATCTCCTCCCTCATTGCCCCCCAGCCCACCAAAAACTCCAGCGCCCACAAGCTCCACGCCCTCACTATCGCCGCCGTGCTCTCCGCCGTCGTCGTCGTTTCCGTCGCCGCATTCTTCCTCTACCGTCGCAGACACCACAACAGCCGCAACTTCCCGGACAACGAGGACGAAAAGTCGTATGTTAGATCCGAGCACAGCAGCAGGCTGTTTCAGGCGCCCAATCTCAGCCACTCCTTCAGTGGTACACACAAGGTCCGAACCGGCTCTTCCAACAGCTCCGAGTTCCTCTACCTGGGCACAGTGGTCAACTCGCGCGGACTCGAGGAACGAGTTGACGCGCGCGCGAGCGTTGGTCGTAGGGCCGAAAAAGAAACTCGGAAAGTCGACTCACCGGACCTCCAGCCGCTTCCGCCGCTTGCTCGGCAAACCTCGAGGCTGAGCCGTTGGGAGAATGCCGAACCGGTTCTGACCCATGACCGAGACGATGAGGAAGAGGAAGAGGAAGAAGAGTTCTACTCTCCCAGAGGGTCTTCGGGCGATCGCGACAGCTCCAATGGAAACGGATCCGGGTCCAGGAGAGTATTCGCGGCGGTTGCGGGTGGCGTATTTGATGAAAGAGGCAGCGAAACGACGTCGTGTTCATGCTCGTCTTCCGAATTGGGTTCACCGTCTCGGTCACACTCAATCAGTCTCTCGCCTCCGGTGAGTTTAAGTCCCAACAGAAGATCAGAAGAGCCCAAACCGCCGGAACCCTCAGCCATGCATTACACGGCGCCGTTTGCTGATGTCAATCTACGGTCGCCGTCGTTGACTCCAATGTCTTCGCCGGAGAGAGTTGTAGATGATTTCCCATCTGCATCGGACCGAAACGGAGGGTCTCCGTCGATGTTCTCGCTATCTTCGTCGCCGGAGAGAGGATTGGAGAAGACCCCTGATGTACCGGCGAAAGTTTCGGTCGTTCCGGATCAAAGTTCGCCGATTTCCTCACCGGAGAGAGATTTCGGAAGCAACCAACATGCATCATCGAAAGTTTCGGTGGTTTCTGATCAAACTTCGCCGATTTCCTCACCGGAATTAAATTTCAGAAACAAACCAGATGCGTTACCGAAAGTTTCGGCCTTTTCAGATCGGAACGATCAATTCCCTTCACCATCTTTAAATTGTTCATTATCACCAGGGAGAGAATCGAACGGTTCTGATTCAAGAGCCAAGTCCTTTTCACCTTCTATGTCACCACTGAGAGGTTTGGAGAAGAGCTCAGCTGCCTCACCAAGAATTTCAAATGCTTCGGATCGAGCATTTATTCATTTGGATCCTAAAATGCAGTCTCTTTCATCATCTTCATCGTCTTCGTTGTCGAATTCACCGGAGAGAGAGTTTAGTGGTGGTTTAAAGCAGCCTCTTTCGGTTCCTCCGCCACCGCCAATGCCTCCATCACTGAGACTCTGGGAGAAACCAAGTCCTAGAACACCAGTTGGGCAAGTGATCTCAAGGCCTCCAGCTCTCATACCTCCTTCAAGACCCTTTGTGTTTCAAAACCCGGGAAAGGTCTCTGTTTCGCCGGTGAAGTTGACGCCAAGTTCAACACCATTGGAGCCGATTGAGGAGACTCCGAAACCAAAGTTGAAGCCATTGCATTGGGATAAAGTTAGAGCAAGCTCCGATCGCGAAATGGTGTGGGATCAGTTTAGATCGAGCTCTTTCAAGTAAGATAGTACTTGCATTTACTTGCTTTTCTTGTTATGGTAGACTTATAATTGATGTAGTAAGTTGGCTGCTTATACTGTGTTGCACTACTAAACTTGTGGAATTATCGGGCGGTGGTTGCAGATTGAATGAAGAAATGATAGAGACATTGTTTGTTGTAAAAACACCAAACCCGAATCCAAGGGAAACGACACCACGTGCAGTTCTTCCCTCACCAAATCAAGAGAATAGAGTACTTGATCCAAAAAAGTCTCAGAATATTGCAATCTCGCTAAGGGCTCTCAATGTGACCATAGAGGAAGTTTGTGAAGCTTTATTAGAAGGTAAAAACCATTTTTTCTTCAAAGTTGTCTTCCCTTTTCCTGAATGCTGAGAAAATTATCGAATCAACATTGATGGTAATATCGTTTATGCTTTTGGTTATATCTTGTGCACGCCGTTTAGTTAAAATTGAGAATTTAAAATTTGGTTGGTCTGGGATATATTTGAATTCTCGTGATAAGTGGCATTTCATAAGTTCATAATAACTGTGATTCTTCTTCGATGATTTTCTATTGCAGCTGAAATGGTTTGTGATAACTTTTATGTGATAGTTGTGAATTCATGGTGTCCTTTGGTACTGGTAATGAATGCAGGAAACTCGGATGCTCTTGGAACTGAGTTACTTGAAAGTCTAATGAAGATGGCTCCAACCAAAGAAGAAGAACGGAAGCTGAAGGAATACAAAGACGACTCACCAGTTAACCTTGGTCCTGCTGAGAGATTTCTGAAAGAGCTGCTTGACGTTCCTTTTGCATTTAAAAGGATTGATGCAATGCTTTACATGACTAATTTTGAGTCTGAGATCGAGTACCTTAAAAAGTCGTTTGAAACTTTGGAGGTATGTGATGCTAGATTCCGTTTTGTTTTCTTATGCTAAGATGGTATACCAAGGCACACTTAAACATTAATAAGTTAATTAAAAGTGTTCGTCAACTTAACATGGGTATTTCTATCTATGTAGAGATGATAGTTTTTCCATCAGGCATTTTCTCATTGGAATTTCCTTACTTAGGCTGCCTGTGAAGAATTGAGAAACAGCAGGATGTTCTTGAAGCTTCTGGAAGCTGTTCTGAAGACCGGAAACCGGATGAATGTTGGGACAAACCGTGGTGATGCCCAAGCCTTCAAACTGGACACACTCCTCAAGCTGGTTGACGTCAAGGGGGCAGATGGGAAAACCACACTCTTGCATTTTGTCGTACAAGAAATCATAAGGACGGAAGGTGCTCGTCTCAACGGTGGCAATCAAACTTCAAACCCAACTTTGAGTGATGATGTCAAGTGCAGGAGGCTTGGCTTGCAAGTTGTTTCAGCTCTCAGTTCAGACCTCAGTAATGTGAAGAAAGCTGCTGTCATGGATTCTGATGTGCTTAGCAGTGATGTTTCCAAACTTTCCAAAGGAATTAGCAACATCGCGGAGGTTGTGCAATTAAATGAGACGACGGTGTCAGATGACACCGGCCGGAAATTCTCAGAGTCGATGAACATGTTCATGAAATTGGCTGAAGAGGAGATTATAAGACTTCAAGCTCAAGAAAGTGTTGCATTGTCCCTGGTGAAGGAGATTACAGAGTACTTCCACGGGAACTCTGCTAGGGAAGAAGCTCACCCGTTTAGAATCTTCATGGTGGTCAGAGACTTTCTTACAGTTCTTGATCGGGTATGTAAGGAAGTTGGTTCAATAAATGAGCGAACCCAAGTTAGTACCGCCCACAAATTTCCAGTTCCAGTAAATCCAATGCTACCGCAAGTAGTTCCAGTAAATCCAATGCTGCCACAACTAGTTCCTGGAATTCATGGGTTGAGGCGCTACAGTTCATCCGATGACGAGAGCGCGTCTCCATAGTTTCTGCAGCTCATTTCAGGATGGCGTTTTGGTTCGATTTTGTAAAAACAGTGTTAAGTAGGCGGTTTGAACAGCCTGCATGCCAGGTTTATATACATAGCTCCAGGTTCCACCCCACCTAAAATTTGTACTTGTAAAAAATCATGTAAGCGATTTTGCGTTATGTAGATTATATAATTACAGAGCAGATTTTGTCTGGGAAGAATAAGTTGTAATTCGGATTAGATAGTTTCTGGGAAGATCGATCATACAACTGTTGAATGGAAGCAGAACTCTTGACTGTACATGGTTTACGTAACTCGTTTATCCCCAATTATTCTTTGTAATTTAATCATAGCAACAGTAGTGTTTGATATTTTTTGAAATTTTTTTTATATATATACGTGAGGCTAGATGATACTCAAATATAGACGACTCATTTTTGGGCTGACATGAGCCATAATAGTTTCTTCGGGATATTGGTTTTGCATTTACCGCGCCATCGACTAACAACCAAATTTTTAGATTATGTGGCATAGATATAAAAGAACACAATTTTAAAGATACTATTGCAACGTTTTAAAGATAAGGGAATAAACGGACAGGGTAAAAAAGGAGTAAATGTGCTTTGCCCTAATTACTTGTTGAAACATATGAGGTCCACTCCTCCTTGGTAAAAGAATCCATGAAGAGAGGTCGTTTTCAATTAAGGGGTACACGACATGATATCGCATGCATCTTTGAAGGGAACAGATTCCGCTGCTTACTGCAAATTTGAAAAAAATGAAGGAAAGTGACCGTTGGGGTCCTGCCTCTGCCACAGTTGAAATATCCAACCATTTTCATGTGAAGACACCAATTTCCTTATAACTGGACCCTAGTTTTTACTTTCTTGTGGTATGGTATATCCTCATCTTTAACTTTAACCACCCAAAGTAAATAAAAGGACAGCAACAAGGATAAATTCCCTTTTTTTATTTTTTTATTATTTTTTTTTCTGGAAATTCTTTTTCTAATTTCTTTATAAGAAAAGGGAGAATTTTGTGGGGTAGAAGAGACAGAAGAACATGTCATCAGCCTAGTAAAATTAGTGTGTTCGAATATTAACTCTTTCTTTTAGTCGAAGCCATATTTTTTATGTACTAAAATACAAGGATGGGGATTGGAACCCTAGATGCAAGGCAACGGACATATTGTCCTGACTAACCGTGTCCGTATCCCACAAGCTCTAAACAGTAATTCTTTCAGATGCACAATATGAATCTGCACCGTTGATTTTGCTCCACATATCAGAGATGAAAAGTAAATATGGGGTCTTGAATAGTCGAATGACAATTTGACATGACATTTTATCTAGCGTGCTATCCACATATTATCTGGATCGAGTCTAATAAATTGGAGAATATCATAAAACAAGAATTAACGAGGTGTGGGAAATAAAATGCGTTGTGTGAATAGGACTCCCCTTTATTTAACAAGCACAACATATATGTAACTCTTGAGATAAATAGCACCCCTTTCTGTTTAAAATACATATCAACCATCTCGTAGCTATTTGTGTTTATTTGCTGATGACCATTTTTGTTGAAAGCAAGGCTTGAGCATCCATGCGTTCTACTATATGGCGTGCTTCTTCCTCTGTTGCAGGAACCACATTCAGTAACCTAAATCCATCTTTTGTGGCCTTTGCCTCAGGGCGTACGGTGAAAGTGAAATAAAATGTATTTGAAACCTGTTTCAAACACGAGCAAAGCAATGTGTAACTGGAACCGTAGCGAATAGACCATCATAAAAACGAAAGTTCCTTAACTGAAATGGGTAACTGGAACAGTAGTAATGTCAACTTCTAATGGCATTCATTTAAAGTTAAAACTTAAGCTTTCTTATTCTTTGAACGTGCAGTTAAAGGAACATACCTCACTAGACCTGAGCTCAGGCCTGGTAACGTGGGCAACAACTTCGATGTTAATTAGAGGCTGATCAGGATTATGAACTTCTGTGTAAAGAACACATGATTTGAAACGCAGGAAATCTCCAACATCCACCTGCTCATTAAAACATACATGCTTCAAACATATTTCTAGCACAGAAATGGATGAATAGAAAACCAGCTTATTCTTCCATCTCCTCAAAGTCACAATCGGGTCCATCCAGATGCAAAATTAACAGAATGAAGATAATTTGGATAGAATAAAGAACAAAAAGAGGCCGGAAAATGCGTTGAAATTTCGATTGAAAAAGAAAATACTGATGATATGGATAATTTGAACAATTGAAAAGAAGGATGCCAATGGGGTACTCACAGGTTTCAAGAAGTCAACATGATCGACTTCCAGAAAGCAAGGCACCAAGCCTGCAAAGGCATAAGCAGTGGAGAAAGCCAATTCAAATGCTCGGTGCATCAAAAACCCTCCAAAGATTCGACCATGCATGTTTCTCTGTTGTGGTTGGCAGATCAAAGAGTTTTCCAAGCGGGTATCCCTCAGAAGAATGCTATCTCTGTCTGCCAAGGCAGGCATATCACAGAAGATCCTTCCCTCAGCCAACAGAGTTTCAAGTCTATTTACTTCTCCATTCTCAAGCTCCCTTCTGTCTCCTCCTCCTCTTGTTCTTTTCCTCAGATTATTTCTGGCTTCTGCTTCCTTGAAAAGCAATATTTCTCTTTCAGTTTCTGGTGATATCCGATTAACTGCAGCAGCTTTCCCAGTCTTAGAATCACGGGCCACAAACATGAAGTTTGCTGAAAGAGCTACCGAGTCTGCATTGTCAGATCCATCTGCCAAAAAAGTTTTCTTATGAAAGTCTGATCAGTCAGAACATTAAGCACATCCCTTCACAAAAAGAACATAAATTTAAAAGATCACACCATTATTGAGCAGGCTGATGATATAATAGTCATTTTGTAGTTGACAGGATGACAAATTGGATCGTTGTTCTTATAACAGCCCATTTGTAGGCTTGTGAGTTTTGTTTCCAGAAATCGAGATTACGTTAAACAGAGGCAAACTGATTATTGTTCATTAAACTAAAATTTGAAGGAGACACCAGTGTCCATAAGCAAATTCTATTCTAACATTGAAAATGCAATTGCAAACTTTTAATAGAAGTTAAGCCTTATGAGCAAAATGCTGGAAAAGATAAAGAAAGTTCTAGAGGTTATCAGATTTCAAAAACAAATTTACGTCAAATTCACAGGTACCTTGTGTTGACTGAATAACTTCTAGTTGAATCTCTATAGATGACCGCCCCACCCATATGACAGCACCAACTATTTTCAGATCGACATCAACACTAATCGGCTTCTTCAGGACAATCTTGTCCACCGATGCAGTGACCAGCAAGAGTGGCCTTGTTGTGCCATCATCGTCACAGCAGTGCTGATCCATATAAAGGTTTAAAATTAAACTACAAGAAGAAGAGTACAAGCAAGAAATTCACTTGGGACAAACGTTATTCAACATGAAATAAACTAGCAACTTATCTCGTCAATCACATGCTTCAACTTAGACTAAAACAACTGATAATACATTTTGAAATGAACATAACTTGAATGGCTCTTTGCATTATATCAATATTTAGAGTCAAACAGACATCGCTGCACATGATCATCACCCGGCTTCCACAGCCCCCCGTTTGCATCATACATAATAAAATAGTACCAAAGTAATTCAAAGCTTGCGACTGTCCAAATTTAACGGCATTGACCTTTCTGATTAACTAGCAATACAAAGAACAGAAACTGTCTCTTGGTCAAATAAGACACCGTTCCCATGACATACAAAACTGTTCGCACTAGAAACTAAACCAATCAACGCCTCAAACAAAATGCATTCCAGATTATGGCAGCTCCTTAGAATAATCCAAAGTTCGAAAAAAATATAAACACTCCAAACCAGAAAGTTGTTGCAATGTATAGTTCAAAAGCTCGGGATTTACGAATTGAAAGTGCAATTCAGCCTAATCCATCACAAAATTTTTACACAAATAATCATAAACCCAGTTCAAGTGATCAAATTTCAAGCAGAACCCACAAATCCAGTTATAATAATAAACACTAAAAATTTTTTACCTTTACTGTAATGGTTCCAGCTAAAGCATCAAGGTCTTCAAACAATTTCCCAATTCTGACCTCATTCCAAGGATCCCTGTACTGCTCCCGCAATATATAATCCGTCGAAAAATTGTACAGAATCTTCGTCCTGCTCTGGGACGGCGTTTTGTTCAGCAACTCGCTCTGCGGCGGCGCGTCCTTGCGCGGGTCCAGAAAGAACCTCTCGAAGATCTTCGACCTGGCTTCCCACAGCGCATTTGTCACCGGCGAGTGGTACATTCCCGGCCAGAGGCTAATAGGCTTCCGGGTCGAACCGTTGGGCCCATCTTGGGTCGGAGGCGGGTTTTCGAAAGGGGAAGAGAGAGTGGCGACGACGGGAATGGGAGCGGGTGAATTGGGAGTTGCAGGAGAGGAATTCAAGTCCATCGAATTTGGGGGTTTTGGGATTCTGAAAATTTGATTGAATTTTGAGCTTCGAATCATGTAAAGCTGGGAAACGACAAGACTCCCATGGAAGGAGTCTTCGCATTGAATTGGAGAAAAGTATTTTTAACACATATTTTATTGACATTATTTATTGGGTTGGTGAGAAATGTGATCAGGCATGGACTAACTGTGGTTTAATTTTAGGACAAGGTTTGTCCGCCCTTCACTTCAGGTGCCATTTTCGTGCCTTTCTATTTTTGTGATTACGGTTAAGTTATATCAATATTTTATATTATTATTTATTTTTGTTTTATTATATCTATAAAAAAAAATAATATAAAATATTGATATGGCTTAACCGTGATCACACAAAACAAGAGGGCACAAAGAGGGCATCAGAAGTGGAGGGCAGACAATCTTTTTTCTTAATTTTAAGGAAAACTAATCAAAAGTACTTAAAAACTTTAAGTTTTAACGATAAGGAGAAAATAAAGGCTAAAGTGAATAGTACCAGGATTGACTTTTTAGTGTAAAAATGTGATTTTTCGTTAAAGTAAACAGTATCGGAAGCTTTTCGTTAAAGTTACGTTAATTTTCTGTGGGGAAATTTTATAAAACAGGTTAGCACTTCTCACTTTCACATTGGACTAACTGTGGTTTAATTTTATTTTGTGAAATTTTATTTAAACCTATATAATCTTTTTGTACATCCAGTTTACTCTTTACCCTCATATTAATTTTAATGAAACTATCAATATCTTTTTAGACCCATATTTACTACCTAAACTACCCTTACAAACCCAATTCAATTTGCAATTTATCTTAAAC